AAAGCAAACTATGTATGTAGTCAGCTCCTGATCCTTGTCAACTTGGGGTTTGCGGATAGTTACCGGATTAAGAATCTACTAATAAAGTTTTTATTACCCAAAAAACAACTAAAACAAGAGAACCTCAACGTCACCTAGTGTAAATGTCTGTTTAACTTAGGAGGAACATGTCACATGTATGTATATATACCCTATTGCGGAGAGCTAACAGAGTATCTTCTCTAAGATAATCAATTAAAGACCCAAGAAGTGAATTTTCTCGAATGATCGAGTTCTAAATTAAATAGATAGGTGAAGCTTACTACCATTAGTAACAACGCTATATCGTTGTTAAACGAACATCAGAATGACATACCAAACTACTCAAACACTCTATGGACAAACTTCTGAATCTAGAGTCTCAAATTAACGATATGTAAGCACTGCTCGCTAAAAAATGAAATCTTGTCTTGAGCTCTCACGATACAGTAATGTTTACTCTGTAGGACATCAGTCCCTCACAACGACACTTGCGAAATTAAAAGCATTTATACGCTTATTTCCAAAATTAAGAGAACTAGACTGAATCGAGGATCATCTACCGCCAGTAAGCATATATTTACTTATCAGTTCAACCTTAGCATATAAAACGATCGCAATTAACGTGACAGCATAGTTATAGTCCTGCAGTGTAAGTGAGTATTTGGGGAACGATCATTTCCAATAAGTTGATCATCAGGCTCGACAGATATAAGTTCATGATAAACGTATTTGCTTGTGGTTGAATTAAGTATTGTAGGATGAAAATCTTTAACATTGATTACAGAGAAAATACATCAAAACAAGCCAGTCGTAAGCTAGAAAAGTTGCCTAAGTGGTAGGAAATTTTATCAAGCTGGGAACAGGTGAATTATATGGACAGTCAACCATATGAGAGATGTTATGTTTTGGTGGTCAACATAACGAAATCACGTGAATATAAAACGTCACACGAATGTTATAAAGGTAATTATGATGATAATAAGAACATGTGAATGAAGATGAGTCTGCAACTAAGAATAGGACAAGGTAGAGATACATAAATGGATCGATAATAAAACGCCATGATATGGGGTGACCAGATTATGGATTAAAATGAACAGAGAAACTGAATGTAACTCCTCCGGGTGCATAGACCTTTCTTCCTGAAGTCGATGGTTATGTAGACAAGGATCCGACATGCCCTTAGAGCCCTGGTATGGCCGGGAGTGGGGTGGGTTCGTCCTCCTCCCTAAATGCCCAGACTTAGCAACGCGTATACAGCCTCCACCAAGTCCTACTCACTGTCTTATCGTGGCGGGGGTGTTGTCGACAAAAACCGAATGTCTGGCGCTTTACCCGGATCCCAAACCAATGGTATCCTGAAGGAACAAATGGCGTATGAACCAATCGTTGGTCACCGGCTACCATGGGACTGCATCTCCACCTGTGGCATCTTCGTCTGGTCTTGCTGGCGTTGGTTTCGCATTAAGCGCTAGAGCCGAGGCAGCACTAATCGATTGGATCCCCATTAACAGTCGGTTATGTGCTGTTAGATTAGAAAGTTCCATCAAAGTGAGAAGAAATCGGCGTGAGAAACGATGCCTTTTCGTCATCTCCGCCTATGACCCGACAGATTGCAGCCCGGATGAATTCTACCACCAGTTTACTGTTCTTCTCCAGAAAGTGCGTTCGACAGATATTGTAGTACTAGCTGGAGACTTGAATGCTCAGGTCGGGCGTCTAGGCACAGAAGAGAGTCGTTTAGGTGGCCGATGGGGACTTGTTGGTCGCGGGACAGATAACGGCGACCGTCTACTGCAACTGTGCACAGACCACAACCTGTTTGTGGCTAGCACTAACTTTCGGCACAGTCATTGCCGATGAGCCACCTGGCGTCCCCCTCCTGCATCTCAAACCTGGACTCCGATCGATCACATCGCGATCAGCTACCGCTGGCGTGGTTGTGTACAAGACTGCCGCTTCTTTTGGAGTACCTATCTGGACTCTGATCATACCCTGGTCTGCACCAATCTCACTTTACTTTTCAGTGGATAACGAAGTTACCGACACCAAGGGACTGATGTTAGCAAGCTGGCTGCAACTTCTGTTGCTAGTAAGTATTGAACCGAGCTAGTTTCTAGGCTAGCTACCATTCCACCGAAAAGTATAGATGAGCATTGGTCGCATTGCATGACGCCATGAAAATGGCGGGTACAGTCTGTTGTAGGGTTCGCAAAACGTCCCGCTTACAAGGACTGGTATTCTTCTGGTTCCTTACAACTGATTGAAGCCCGTCGGTCTACTCCGAGTGACCGTGAGCTTGGGCAAACCTTGCATAAGGACCGAGAAGCCTGGTGGTCGGAGCGTGCTAATGAGCTGGAAGCAGCAGCTGCAGCTGGTGATTACCGGAAGCTCTTCCAACTCATCCGAGCCACTGGCAGCAAGAAGTCTGGTGTGAGCGAAACAATCTGCGAGGATGACGGAACGCCAATCACTAACATCCATCGACGTCTTGGACGATGGGCAGAATTCTTTGAAGGGAAGTTCAACTGGCCTGCTTCTCCGGCAACATCGGTCAGACTGTCCTGCCCTCCATGGCCGGTGACGAATGATCTGCGGAATGAGGCGGAAGTCCGCAAGGAACTCCAACTCTTGAAACGCCATAAATCACCGGGCCCAGACGACTTACCTCCGGCTCTTTTTAAAGATGGTGGTGACTTTCTGACTAAGGGACTGACGACGTTGTTTACAAAGGTCTGGGAACTAGAGAGTCTACCAACCTCATGGAATGAGTCGATAGTTGTCCTTATCTTTAAAAAGGTTTCACGTCGTTCCTGTAACAACTATCCGGGGAAAAGTCTACGTCCGATTGCGCCCAAGCTATTGGCTTCCGTCATACTTCGTAGGTTGTTCAGAACCCGAGAAGGATTGACTCGCGAGGAGTAGGCTGGGTTTCGTTCTGGTCGAGGATGTATTGATTATATCTTCACACCCCACCAAATGTTAGAACACCATCATACTTATCAAAGGTCAACAATCGTAGTGTTTCTTGATATCAGGGCTGCCTTCGATTCGTTGGACAGAACTGTTCTCTGGGATTGCCTATTGAAGAAGGGTGTGTCTGAGAAGTTTATCAACATCCTAGAAGCCCTATACACAAACACCTCAGGCAGAGTGAGGGCATACAACCACCTTTCTCCACTATTCCATTCAAGCAGTGGAGTTAGGCAGGGTTGCACAATCTCACCATTCCTCTTCAACTTTGCCATCAATTACATTCTGGAAACAGCTCTGATGGATGTAAGTAATGGTGGTGTCGACCTGTTGCCTGGAGAAAGACTTCTCGACCTTGAGTATGTGGATGATATTGTCTTACTGTGCGAGAATGCCCAAGCCATGCAATCCGCACTTAATCAGTTGGCAGTCAATGTCCGTAGGTGTGGTATGTGCTTCGCACCTTCGAAGTGCAAAGTTCTTCTACAAGACTGCAGGATTCTAATCCTGTACTCACTCTGGATGGTGAGCAGATAGAAGTAGTCGAGAAGTTCGTGTATCTAGGTAGCTGCATAAGTGCTGGTGGTGGTGTGAGTGATGAGATCAATGCACGTATAGTGAAAGCCAGAGCAACTTATGCCAATCTGGGCCATCTTTGGCGCCTTCGTGATGTTGGTCTGGCTGTAAAAGGTCGGATCTACAATGCGACGGTGAGAGCAGTTTCCCTCTATGCTTGTGAAACCTGGCCTCTCCGAGTTGAGGATGTTAGACGACTCTCTGTGTTCGATCATCGTTGTCTCCGAAGGATTGCTGTCAGTAATGCAGAGGTCCGGCATCGTGTGTTCGGTCACAGAGACGATAATAAAATTGGTGTCACCATCTTGAAACACCGACTTCGGTGGCTTGGACATGTTCTACGAATGTCGTCCCAGAGAATTACTCGTCGTGCATTATTTGCCGACTCTGGGACTGGTTGGAAAAAGTGGAGAGGTGGTCAGTGTATGACATGGTGTCGGGGTATGAAAGTAAGCTGTAAAGGGCTGGCTTGTGTTGGTCCTTCACGACTCCCTGGCTGGGGTCCGATAGATGGTGCAACGCAGTGGCTAGAGACGTTATCAGATATGGCTCAGAATAGAAGCCAGTGGCGATCCTGCTGTAACCCTCTTTTACTTTCTTCATAAAAAGTGACTGTATCCTCCTTAAATGTAAGACTTCTTCTGATTGTACCTTTTCGTCTCCCCTCATTATTGTTCTTTTTATTATTTTATAATCCCTTACGTTCCTTACTTTTTTTCCCTTCTTAAATTCTCATTGTTTTGTGTGGCGCATATATATTTGGTGCTCCCTTGTACCAATATTTGTGTTCAAATAAATAAATAAATAACTTAATGGGGTACAGTAACTTGGACCGATGCACAAACGTGGCAGGTTCTACGTTGTAACTGACAACAATATGTTATAACAGTTATCATTAGGCCAGAAACTTAGTATCAAGTTTCAAATACAGTCCTTTAATACTTCTATTACATCCCACACATGTTGAAAAGGAATCGTTGAACGAATTTTTGATGTATCAGAATTTATTTATTTATTTGAACACATAAATATTGGTACAGGGGGGCACCAAATATATATGCGCCAGAATTATACGTTTTACAATTTTCGCTGAAACTATCATCAAAGATTAAACATACTAATAATATGCACATTGTAAAAAAGTCAAATAAAGACAAGTAAAAAATATTTCAGCTGAAGCCGTTTAACCTTTGTAATATTATCTAATTGAGTAAGAAAACAATCTTGAAAAGACAATTGAAATAAAATATGATATAAAGTAGCATTAAAAAAGGCCAATAAATTGACTTCAAAACTGTCACTTAGTGTTTCGTTGTTTTATTTTGATGAAAGTACAAATAACATCTTGCTATGTAACTACACAGTAAAAAGATAACATATATAAAATATAACAAAGTCATGAGCACAAACATATACATGTGGTATGGTTATTAAACACGTTTACGATCAGTAAGGACACGCATAATAGAACCAGCTTTGCCGTAAGTATACACCTGAGGAAAAAACGGTAAGACATTTTATTAAAAAAAAATTTAACAAAAATTCAGGATACAATCGTATAAGCCAAATTAATTTATTGAGATAGTTTAATAACAACCAACAGGAAATTTGTAAGTTTTCTTTGAATTTCAATGTTAGAATGAAATACACTTACCTGTACAACTGTCAAACACATCAACCTCTGAGATCAATCAACTGAATGACATTTTTCTTAATCATTTAAACAAACTTATGATATCTAACCCGTGTAATATTACAATAATATGACAACAACCTAATACCAGAGATTATGTGACTAAGTGCTTATTAAAAAATTTGATCAAAAATCACACTGTCAAGAATTGTATTGAGTTCCATAGTGTTACTGGTTAAAATAGGGAATTCAAGATTCTCTTACTTTGAGTGCAGGATTTCAGGTGGTCACTTTTTATGAACAAACTAAATATGCTCACCTGCAAACAATTCACACGGAGAAGAATAGGAACCATGCTGAATAAATACCAAAACTGTAATTCATATTGAGGAAAACCGGATACTGCGATAAATTATGAAGTAATGAGATTTGATAACTATAAATATTTAGTAATGTATGTGATTACTTAGTGTACGGAAAATCAAGAATTCAATCGTTTGGTGAAATTAACCCATTTCTGGAGACCAACACTTTCAAGTCACACTAGACACCATTATCGGTATAACTACAGAGATAATTCTACTATGGAAATGTTAACAACTAGTGGATTAACATAACTGCATACAAAATATATTAACCAGTTAATTTCATACTAAATATTATTTTTTTTAAGTCAGTGTATATAACAGATTTTTAAACGTACCTTTTCATGCCACGTCAACAGTGTTGCACAACTTATCTCTTGTGGTTGTTCAAATCCACGATAAATATATTTCATAAGTAAATCAATTTTATCTTGATCCATAGTTGACAGAAATTCATCAATATTTTGGTTTGATTTAAATTGTGATAGCAGACGCATCATCAATTTAAATACTGTATCCTTAGTTTGTTGATCTTTTGAATTAATTGGTGCATTTTGTAATATGTTCAAAATAGCGTCTGTAGACTTTCCACTCGAGATTAAACTATTGATTTCAGAAATATTCAACCTAGACGGTTTAATATCCTCCGTTAGTTCATCCTGAAATGTTGGTTCAGTCAACTGGTCAACATTCACCATTCGAAATTTTGTATCTCCGGTATTTTTAGCCATTTATAACGGAGAAAGAAAAAAAATATAATGATCAAACAGATAATTAGAGGGACAATTTCACAAGAGAATATGAATGCACAGAAAGTGGATGTAGAATGCGGTGAACGATATCTTAAAACTCTGAAAATAAATGAAAATAAAAAGATCAATATCTTTAGCGATCGACCAATAATTTTTGGATGAAATGTAGGTCATGTAATTAAAAAAACGTATATGAAAATACATATAACGACCATATTATTGATATATTTTAGAAGAGAATAGTTTACAAATACGAAACATCACAAACTTATAGTTAGTTAAAACTAAACAAAAAGATCAACCTTCAATAATTACTGGATAAATTTGAGTAAAATAGACTAGCTGATAAAAGGAAATAAAGTATAACACGAAGTGAAAAAATGGGAAAAGGTATAGTAAAAAACCTTTACATTAAACTTAGTAGTGAGCCACGTAACACTTATTATTGGATTTAATTATCTTGTCAACTTGATCTGGAAGAACTAAAACCCTTTGAACCCTTTAAACAGATAATCAGTAATGTTCTAAACAGCTGTCATTTTACGGTCACTCAGTCATTGCCGCATTCATACACTGACAACCCTCGAAGCTTACTCTACTAAGGTATTATACCGACTATCAATGCAAATTACCGGAGAGTGAGGGTTTCCAAGATAAACTAGGTGGTTGTGAGAATATAGATCCATCTGATAAAATTTAATACCCCAAATATGCGACACAGGGAACTTATTCTTCAAAATAATCATTCCTTACTATTATATTACAATGTACGGACACGTACTCATTCCATTCAATAGTTAGTCATATGATCCTTTATTTGTTTATTCATTCATTGGACACAGATATTGGTACAATAGAGCATCAAATACACATGCGCTACACAATAAAAATGAGGTAGTGAAGAGATGGAGGATGTAAAGTGCTTATAATAAAAAGGAAAGTAACAATGAACAGAAATTGATGCATGAGAGTGAAATAATAATAATACTTGATGTGAGCAGTTCAGTCAGGAAAAATAAAGCTAGAACGAATTCCTTCGGTTAAAAAAGTTACGTTCACTTTCATAAAGTAAAAGACTACAGCAGGACTGCCACTGGTCTTTATTCTGAGCTATTTATGATAACGTCTCAAGATACTGTGTTGCGCTATCTCTAGGACCCCAACCAAGGAGTGTTAATTGACCAACAGGAGCCAATCCTGTACATATTTATTTTATACCACGACACTATGTCGTGCACTTATTACCTCTCCGCCTTTTCCAACCAGTCCCGATGATTCGGAGACCCTGATTCCAAACCAATGGTGTGCATAGGCTCCAGGATCCTCAAGAAAACAAATGGAGTATGAGCCAATTACTGGGCACCGGCTACCCTGGGACTGAATCTTATGACGTTACCCCACTGCCTTGTGGATCAGACCTTTAGAACGAAGGCTCCAGGTGTCGCCCCTAAGAAAACCACTTGTTTCTGTTTGGGCACTCGAGAAGTGTCACAGTCCACACACAAACCAATTAACTTGCGTGTTGCGAATGTATTCAGTGCCTCTTTGTAACAATATTTATGTGTTCAAATAAATAAACAAAAGCCAAACTAACACCATGAAGGCGCCAAAGATGGCACAGATTGGCATAAGCCGCTCTGGTTTACACTAAACGTGAATTAATCTTATAATTCACGCCACCACCGACACTTACGCAGCTATCCAAACACACAAACTTTTCGGCTACCTCTACCTGCTTACCACCAAGAGTGAGTGCAGGTCCAAGGTCCTCCCATTCTTTTAGAAGCACTTCGCACGTGGAATGTGCGAAGCAAATCCCATACCTACGGACACTGATTGCCAACTGATTATTATTTATTTATTTTAACACATAGATATCGGTACAAGAAGGCACCAAATACATATGCGCCACACAGATCTCATTTGATATGTGTGAGGGCTGTGATACTGCTCGGGTGCCCAAACCGAAGCAGGTGGTTTTCTTAGGGGGCCACACCCCGAGCCTTTGACCTGAACATCTGATCCACAAGGCAGTGGAGCATCGTGAGGAGATGCAGTCCATGGTAGCCGGTGACCAATGATTGGTTCATACGCCATTTGTTCCCGCAGGATACTGGAGCCCATGTGCACCATTGATTTGATTTGGGGTCCGGTTATAGCGCCGGACATTCGCTTTTCGTCCTCTCATTTTCGTAAACAACACCCCCGCCACGAGAAGGCAGTGAGTAGGACATTCCTGGCAGGGGCTGTATACGCGTGGCCATGTGAGAGCATTTTGAGAGGGAGAGCGGACTCTCCCCACTCTCGGCCATACCAGGGCATTTGGGGGCGCCAACTGATTAAGTGTGGATTGGACGGCTTGGGTATCATTTCACAGCAAGACAATATTATCTGCATGCTCAAGGTCGAGAAATCTTTCTCCAGGCAACAGATTTTATTATTTATTTATTTTAACACATAAGTATAGGTACAGGGAGGCACCAAATACATATGCGTCACACGAATCTCATTTGATTTGTGTGAGGGCTGTGATACTGCCTGGGTGCCCAAACCGAAGCAGGTGGTTTTCTTAGGGGGCCATACCCCGAGCCTTCGACCTAGACGTCTGACCCACAAGGCAGTGGAGCATCGTGAGGAGATGCAGTCCCATGGTAGCCGGTGACCAACGATTGGTTCATATGCCATTTGTCCCTTCAGGATACTGGAGCCCAGGTGCACCATTAATTTGATTTGGGGTCCGGTTAAAGCGCCGGACATTCGCTTTTCGTCCTCTCATTTTTGTTACCAACACCCCCGCCACGAGAAGGCAGTGAGTAGGACTTCCCTGGCAGAGGTTATATACGCATGGCCATGTGAGAGCATTTCGAGAGGGAGAGCGGACTCTCCCCACTCTCGGCCGTACCAGGGCATTTGGGGGCCCAGGCAACAGATCCATACCACCATTACCTACATGCATCAGAGTTGTTTTCAGAACATCATCGATGGCAAAGTTACGCAATGCAACTTTGTACTAACTTTTTTGAAGTAATATTTCGAAAAAATACTGATAAGACTACAAGCAACCAATTTCACAAACTCTAAGAGATTCACGAATATGTACAGGTTTATAAAATACCGAAACTCAGATTGAAGCGGGTGAAGCATCATAGCACATATGTTAGAAACTGTATACATAACTGACATTTCTAATGGTTTAACTGAGTAATTTGGAATTCATTGTCTCTAAGAAATGGGCATTAAACACAGTTCTAACTAATGCGTTTAGCGTAGAGTCACTAATATTTTTCGTATAATTTACCACGTTTATTAGCGCTCATCAAGTAAATAAAGCATATGCTTTTCGACTGAAGGGCATGGAACATCTAACAATTTTTATTTCTTAAAAGAACTCTCGTTATTACTTTATACATATAAACAGACTTAATAACTCTGTATAACCCATATTTAAATGTAATGCTAGTAGAGCTTAGAAAACTAACATATTTTTTAATAACAATTCCGGAGACCTAATAATAGTGATTATGAATAGTCCTGAAATACGTTGACTCCCACTGAAACTACCAGGCGAGAAATGTTAGGATGATCTTGACTAAAAAGTCATAACAATTATTTTTCTGATGACATTGACGTAATATAGTGTTTCCAAAGTTTTTATTGGATGTAAGGAACGGGTACCCTCAAGCAGACAAATATCTCTATAAACTTTTGATACAGTCTAAGTTTTTCAAAAAAAATTCTACGGACGATACAGGTAAAGAACACATACAATAGTCAAATTATTCAACATTACAGCCGAACAGTAACTAATCGTCAAAGCTTAACGATGTAAGGACTGTCATAAGTGTCTGGGGAGACATACGTAAATGGTTCAATTAAATTAACCCATCACAAAAAGCAACAACAAAATCGTGAGATCAAGAAAAATAAGACAAACTGAAACTAGGAGGCGGTACAATGATGCCTCACACTACAGAATATATAAAGGTTAGCCTAACATTGAAACCACCTCTTTTTCAACAACCTTGAGCTGTTTTCCTCACAATGGATATTTCATATTTAAACTACCTCAGGTCAATGTCGTATCGTAGGCTTTCTTAACTTTGTAGAATGTGTGGATTTTAAATTTCTATATATTTAAGAAGACACTGTATGGCGGATAGCCACGTGTATCATATATCTTTCTCTGTTTGATCTAAATAAAACATCTGTGACGCGTTGTTTAAGTGTTGAGTTTGGATGTTTCCTCCTTTTGTGATGACGCTTGTTACTCTCTGCACTGATCCAATAGCAACACTGCGTCAAGTACTCCAGAACGCATTTTCAGCGAATTAAATAATGCTTTTGGTAAATAAAGCTATCTCAAAGGTTCTTGATATGGGGCGAGTTTGAAATTGACTTGAAATGTTTCCGATGCGTCAGAAAAGCACGATCTCAATAAGTGAAGATAACATGTGTGGATTACGTCCGTCTACAAAAAAAGAGGTGTCTATTGAACGTTGTAAATATCTATTAGTTATCTTTAAGTGCACGTTTTGTTTGGAAAGAGAGCCGCGGGAAAATCGCTATAGTTAGCAAACCTTAATACCACTATATTGTGTAACAACGCGGATTTAAGTTTCATGGCTGAAATTTAACTCTTCTTGTAGCCTAACGTGATGGCACATTTTCACGTTGGTCTACAACTATGTGTATAAATGGATTCATGGTATACGATCCATGGAATACCATTTCCCTTATGAAGAAGAAAGCTTAAGCTCCACATTACTACAGTCTTTCAAATTTAGCCAGATAACAGAATTTTAAAAAAATTTCATTGAAAAATTACTCACTGAAAAGAACTTAAAATCCGAAATCAACCCAAGTAGTTTGTAAATTAAATTCAGGTTCGCACCACCCAGTTTGACATGTATAGTGCACTATTTCAAAATTGAACGTCGAGAGAATTTTGTTTCGATTATCGGAATTTAGTAAGAGTGTGC